AGAATACTGTGGACAGCGGTTGTAAATCCCGTTGTTGGTGAGTTCAATGAGGTGAGGAGGGGGAGAGAAGGACGGTTATTGCTTTCAAATAATAATCACGTCATTCATGCCAACTATGTGGGGCGTTCAAATAACCAACTGAAATGTTAAGCAAAGACACTTCGAACAGGATGATAAGAAATATTGCGAACAGTTTTTTGTGTCCATAGGAGGCGGCTTTTTACTCTAATCGCTATTGCTTTCATTGCAGATAATATTTAAAGTTTTGACATTCTTGGGCCGGATAATATTAGTAATAGGATTAATCCACCAAACAATATGCGTACAAATCCCATTCGTTAGATCGATTTTCCTCCCATGGTCTTTATTCGAAATGCAAGTTCACACAGTGACTATCTGAACATGCATGTTGCAAGTCCACCTTTGAACTCACTCACTCACTCACATTTGCGTTTACCTTTTCTGTTTGTCGGTGCTCTCCGCAGCACATAAGACATTTTTCTGGATAGCAGATAACCAACTGAATGTGGGCTCTGTCACCATATTTTTAGTTTGCAATGAGCATATTTAGGTTTCACAAGGCATAGATGATGGAATCAACTGAAGACCATTTTTAGAACTATGAACACGGATGAAAACTGTGTAGAGCGATTGCTGAAAGAAGCCAAATAGGGGCATGTGAGTACAAACCGAATGGAAAAACCTAACCGGTGGTTGGAGACGCTGGGTGATGTAACTGAGTTTCATTTTTAATGGTGCCGTTGGATTAACTCAGTTTCTACACAGGAAGATTTCCCTACTAATGTGTTGATGGCGTTCCCAGCATATTAACTTTTAGATCTAATCATTTATCATTGATCGGTCATAGAGGGGCAAAGCAAGACCGCTGTTTTAATGGAACTAAACACAAATAGTTCACGTAAAGGAGAAACGCAACACTACAGTTAGTCCATCTGAAACGCACAAATCTCCTGCTACCTGGAGAACTGCATTCAATATTTGGAGTAAGCACCAGTGAATAGAAAACCCAGGAAAACGAACTGTAGTCGGTGTTTGAACCAAGCTACCTGAATTAACATGAATTTAAGGAACTTCACTTGTCACGGTCCAGCCGCACGGTACTCCTTTTTTGGCCGTACGGACTGAATACCGATTCTCGCTTTACATTGATACCAGACTATCTAGGGTGGACTTGGTGGCCATGCATTCACCTCAAACATACAACAGGTATAGAGTTACAATGCTAAACCGGGGATGTTCAAACCACAGTGTGTTGTGTGAAAGAAACAAAAAACACTTCACATTGTTTTCCTTTGGCTCCGAAAAATCTAATTCGCATAGAATTGCACTGGTACTCTAGGCAACACACGAATCAGTCCTACTAGATTTTGCTCTCCTTTTCGGACATTTCAGTGGCGTTCAGTTTTAATTTTTACAATCACCATCTATGCACTTTAATGCGCCGGTTTTGTTTGCTGTCTCATGACTGTCCACTCGGATAAAACAGCAGAAGGAAGAAAGGTATGTTGCAATGGCGTTGCCAACGTTCGTTAAAATTCTGATTGGGTTCATTCATCAACCGGGAAGAGTCAATGAATAAGACAGAATTGTGTATGGTTATTTGTCGGCTGAGGGAAAACAGACTGTACTGGTCTAAGCAACTGCACGATAGAGTGGAAACTTATTTTCTATGTATTAAACAAAAAAATTCACGGAAGTGATTATCTTGGTATTGGTATGTTGGTATATTGATTAGTCTGTACTTTTATTTGTATTCAATCCTCAACAAGTTATACACTAGTTTTGAGCCAACAGAAAATATAAGTTGCATGATCGGTAGAAGATACATGGAGCAAAGTGACATTGCGTGCAAGGTCAGCTACTGAATGAATTGAAGTATTCCTAATGAACTTACCCTGTATCTGTCAGGATATGTAGTAATCCGATAGTTGCACGGGCTGGGAGAAAGAGCTCCACATACTGGTAGACTGGTATGCAATGAGTGGGTATTACCAGACAATCTTTTGTTTGTAAATTTCAACCTAGCGTCAGAATATCCGTCACAA